ATCCTCACTTGTTGGAGCACCGTTGAGACTCTGGTTCTGTTAAAGTCAATTAATTAATCCTGACAGCTTACTGGATGGTTTGTTCAGCCATTTAGAGCTATTGTTTTCATGGATACATCCTGCCAGTGTTATTTTTCCTGCTCTAACTAATACAGATACTTAGGAAAATATTTTAAATAAGGAAGACAATTGTTTCAAATAATTCAACCTTTGAAGCCTGTAACCTAGGCAGCTAGGCAATTTGATTAGAATACAGTTGTTGAATAAACTTTATTTTTTTTTGAAATGCTAAGTGTGCTCACTTTTCTGATTATAAAAATTAGAAGTTCATTATGGTTCTCTCTGCCTTGGCCAGGATGCTCCAGACTATGAAGGCCTATTCACAGCGGGTGGTTTCGGGCCTTCCTGCTTGGGCTTAGTCACATCTTCACAGGCTTTTCATGTTGTTTACTCTATTATTCCACTGTAAGTAGAGAGTTCATTGCTTTTAATGAGAAATCCACTCCGAGCCATCTATTATGTACCCACTACATGCCAGGCATCATTTTAGAAGATGGAGATATTGTTAACAATCATTTTCATGAGAAAAAATGAACATATTTCCCTGTGCCTATAAGAAAGGGGAGGGGAAGAGCTGCTAGTCAAACCAGCACCGAGAACAGAGAGATTTATAGACATCCCTTTACAGAAAAACCTGCCGCCATCAATTTGACCTCCTGGAAGAATTTAGTTTAAATAGTGAGTGCTGGTGTCCTCTGACTATTGCTTACTTCCGTATGGAAAACTCATTCCTTGCTTTTCAAAACTCCTATAATAAAGCCAGTCTGCACCTCTGGGCCTGTGCTGAGTACTAAAAACATTAAGCCCCCAGGAAGGAAAAGTTTTTAAGTAGATCACCCCTTTGTGGCACAAATCAGCCTAAATAACACAATTTCCAGGAAAGGGAGTTTGGGATTTCCTCCCTTGAAGTCTTTGATATTGTACCAAGCAATCGCACCTAAAAGTGCTAGCCATAAACACCATCTACACTGTGCAGCTAACTTGGGAAGAATACTTGCAAAAAGGAAACATTGTTGAAGAGATGATTTCAAGATTAGTGGGCCTAGACTTTTCCCTTGCTTTCAGCTTTGTGTTGTTTTACTGGCTTGGCTATTCCTGTCACAAAGTGACCCTAGACTGGCCTGCTTGCTGCCTGCCTGGGGTTGAAAAGGGTATTGAAATTTACAAGGATCTTGCCCTTGGCCCCCACTCCCAGGGCACAGCATTCTCACACTTTTTAAGATGGTGCCTGCTCACAATAGCTCTGTAGTCAGGCTAGACAGCTCAACAAGGCTGCCCACAGATTAGCACGTGCTTATCACCTGCCTGGCAATTGCAAATGCCCTTCCTGGGGGGGGGCGGGGGGGGGGGGGGGAGAGACTGACTTCTGGATGCTTACATTTCAGAAGGGGCAAAGCCCTGGGCTTCCTAGTTTGAAATGTATACATGTAGACTTCTCAGACTAACATAAAGATCTTTTCATAACAGAATTGCCCTAACTTTAATATATATGTATACACACACACACACACACACACACACACATATATATATATATATATACATATACATATACATATACATATACATATACATATACATATACATATATATATATACACATATATGCCTTGCTGAGACAAACAAATGCTCCAGTAGTTCGTGGTTTGGTTTGGTTTTTGTTTGTTTGTTTTAAGAAACTATGAGCAGCATCTCAAGGCAAATAACGAAAACACCACAGGACCCCCTGTGAGAGAAGAGAGCAGCCTAAGAACTATGTATATGTCCAATTCATTTCCAAAATTCTTCAGGAGAATTTTTAGAAGAGCGGTAAAAAAAAAAATCACTTCATTAGTTTGTGTGCTAAAATTTCCAGCTTATGGGGCAAGGAAAGACTTGCTCAAGATTGTCAAACTTAATGTAAGTAGGAAAACTCACAATGCAATAAACGGGTAAATCGTCGGAAGGAATATCAAAACTACTGCATTTGGCTCCTGAAAATCTCTGCTTTCCCTATGTTCCTTTCCTACTCAGTGAGCTAAATCACTTAAGCACCAGAGACCAGATGACCAATTTAGGGAGGGCGGCGAGTCTACATCTCCCTTTTCCCTTTAGATTTGTTGGCCTGGTCTTTCTTTCCTCTTTCTTTCCTAATGGCATTTCGTTTCTAGGACAGTCCCTCCTCCCCGTATCTATCGGTCTAATTATCCCATTGTTCAAATCTTTCAAAAGGAAAGAAAAGCAGATTGCTCTGTGCAAGGAATGTCTTTTCTTCTACCCCGGTTCTTAGTAAGCTTTCCAGCAACTCTCCCTGAAACCAGTGTCGCAGAGCAGAGATGGGGCTTAAAGTCCCAAGGTTCTCTTTCTTATGCCACCCCAGTTTCTCCCCACCCCACCCACGCTTTTTTTTTTAAAGTAGGCTGAAGCGCTTTCAAGAGTTTGTTCTGTTTCTACCTCTGACCTAGACGTAGGACATAGAAAAGGCGCCTAGGCAGGCGACAAGAAAAAGAGATGCTTGAGAATAACCGATATAAAAGAAAAGCACTCTAATTAGGATTAACTATTTTAAAGATTAACAACCGAGCTCTGTGGAGACTTTAAAATGCTGTCTTTTGCCTTATTCATTCTTTTTTACACACACGTTTGGTGTATCAGGCTCTATTCTAAACGCTTTTAATATATGACCTTTGTTGATTAAAAAGCATTCAAACCAACATTAAATCCGTGCGTGCTTCCCGAACGTCTCTGACATATTCTTTTATTACAGGGCACGGCGGTTAAGCCTTCAAAGACAAAATGGAAAAACTTTAACCAGTTGCTACTTTATTACAAGCAAACCATTTCCCGCTGCAATTTTTTGCAACCATTATAATTAAATGCACTAGTGTAGCGAGAAAAAAATTTTTAGGGTTGTCACACCCAAGCCCCACACTCCTAATGATTTCAGGTTTTGCCTCGGGCGTTTGGAAGATCCCACTAATTCTCTCGTGTGCTCACGTGGCAAACCTTAATTTCAAGGGGTGGAGGAGTGAAGCTATCATTGAGCGCTGGGAACTCTCGCTGTGGCCCCCTACTCTAGCTGGGAAAGCGAGACCTGGAAAGCTCACACTCGGCTGGATAACCAGTGCTAAAACACTGGATAACCACTGGGTGCAGGCCTGGATTGCACAGGGCCAGCAGCCTCGGGCCGCCTGCTCCGTACCGGAGCAAAAGCCCTTCTGTCCCCGAGCACCCAGGCGCCCGCCCAGAGACTGACTGCCAAGCTGGGGAGTCCGCCACCCACGGTTCTGCGGTCCAGCAGCGCTGACCCCATCCTGCCTCGCCAGGCTCCGCCCGGTCCCCGATGACCCTGTGATTTGCCTGGAGTTGAGTTTCAGAAGACAGGACAGAAAGTTTCAGATTTCTGTTCACACGGTTATTGAAGGCACCGCGGTGAGAACCGCACAAAAGAGACCAAGGCCTGTAGGGAAGGGGTTTTGTGTTTTAACGACACGCTGGCTGCAGGTCCTTGGCTTTACTCTGGCTCCTTCCCACTCTCCATCAACCCAATCTGCACCCGAGTCCAGTCTTTTGCTGTCTCTTTTTCTCTTGTCCTTTCCTGCCGCACCGGTCTAGTGTAACCAGGGAATGGAGTTAAGAAAGGGTGCCTTAGTCAGATTTCCAGAAAGATAATTATCTATGTAAGGTGGAGAGGGTCTTGGTGGTTGATGGATGCCTCTTTTCTCAAAGGCTTTTTTCCACCAAGCACAAAGCAGGCCGAGAGCATCATGTGGAGTCTCTCGTTGGACCCCCACCAACCCACCCAGCGCTGCAGCGCCAGACGGTCCAGCGCACGCCCGACTCCCCGAGACTGTCTTGTTCACTTCCTGAGCGCGCGGAAAAGTTGGCAGAGCCCGCTCAAAAGCCCCACCGTATACAGAGAGGCAGCGACTTGAAAACCGTCTGAAAACACACCTAGAGTTTATACAACCCATGCTGTCCGTTCACTAAGAATGAGCGACCCGGGCAAACTTTACAAAACAAATTCAGTGTACAAGTAAGTACGAATCTTCTCGCCTCGCCTCGGATGCTAAATCCGTGGCTGCACACTCCTGAGAAATTGGAGGGATGACTGGAACATTTAATTTGGATAATCCAAGTCCGAGAATTTTGAGCTCGAAAATCGACTCAAATTTGTGTCCTAAAATCCCGCTTCCAGTCAGTAGGGAAGCCTACCATTTACTCTGACAGTCTACACTCCTCTCTCTGGTTTCTGTGGCCAGAGATACAAAAGAAGTAGCCAAGAGGTGGCAAATCCAACGATGCATCGGGCCAACCTCCTGCGGTTAGGCACCTGGACCCGCAAATGGGCGTCCTTTATCTATCCACAACCCAGAGGCTGCGGAGCTGGCAGGGTGAAAAAGTAACTTTGACTTAAAGCTTTCAAAATCCCCTGAGGGTCAACTGACCGAACCAGTCAGCCACTCAGTAGCCTGAGTCCAGAGGAGGGACAACCCAGAGGGATGGGTCGCCGAGCCTAGAACCCCCACTCCCACCCCCGACATCACCCACGCTCACTCGCACTCAGCCACGCGCTAGCGGTTATTCTTTAAACCTAGGGTAGAAACTCGGCGGGAGAGATTGTGGCTTGCACAGGAGGGCCCAAACCCCAGGAGCCCGCGCCCGACACCCCCGCCCCGTGTACTCTAGCGCCTGCGCCCGCTCCCGCTTCAGCAAGTCGCCGCCAGCGCTCCACTCCCGGCTCCCAGGTGTGCGGCCGCGTTCCCACGCCTCTGCCGACGCCTCTCGGCGGCCATTGGCCAGCGTGGGCCCGCCCCCCCATATTAGCCAATAGAAAACCACACCGTCCCAGAGAGGCGGGGCCTGGAGCGTGGCCAGGGCGGGCACGGGAAGAGGCGGAGGGGCCCCGCCCGCGCTGGGGGGCGTGGCCAGCCCCGGCTCTTGCTGCGGCGTGGGAAAGAGTCTCCAGGAGCCGACCGCGCCGCCGAGGAAGCGGCGCCTGCAGAAGCGGGGCAGGGAGGGAGGGAGGAGGACCGCGGGGAGCGCGGTGCGTCTGGCTCCGCGTCCGTAGCTGCTCCTTCTTCCGCCGCAATGAAGCGCCCTTGTGAAGAGACGACCTCCGAAAGCGATCTGGACGAGACCATTGACGTGGGGAGCGAGAACAATTACTCCGGGTGAGCGCGGAAAAGCAAAATAGTGTCCGGGGAGCTTCGGGCGGACAGCAGACCGTTGTCCCCCGGAAGTGGGTGCTCATGGAGCTAGAGTCGGGGTGGGGCGAGAGATGGGGTTCGCACTAGGCGAGGGACGCGACTGGAAGGGAGCTGGACCCGAGCGTGCAGGAGAAGGCGAGGGAGGGTCCCGGGCTGTCAGCTCCGGGCACGCGTACTGGCACGTCCGGGCGACGCCCCCGATACTGGAACTGTATTTAGGGACAGTTCCAAGAAAAGAAAAACAACTAGATTTCTGTTTTGAGAGAAAGTGGGATCACGACTTGAGTTTTTTGAGAAGTTAAAGCTAAACAGGCTGAGCTGCCCGGGTTGACAGAGAGTAATCTGGGTGACTCACCCATGAGTGACAGAAGTAAGGAAGGGATGAGGCAGCGTTGCTTTAACTGCTTGTTCTTTAGTCTCCAGAAGATCAGCGTTCTGATCACAGGAGACAGACCTCCCGTTTCCTGTGACAGGAAGATTACCTAGGCACTTTAGAGCCAAGGCGGGTCAAATGATAATTGCTTTTAATTGGCATGCCCAGAAGCACCGTAATTATTTATTTGCAGCTGTCATTCAAAGAATGAAATCCTTCCCGCATATAGATAACTGTATTTATTTCACAGGCTTATTTTAAGACGTAGAAAGTCAAAGCCTGAGAACAGCAAGAGCAAAACAGATGCTTGAGAGGCAGTTTACCAACTCTCTCATTGTTAAAGTATTCTTTTAAAAAATGAAGCCGGAGGCTGTCGTGTGAAAGGGTGAAATCTGTAGAGAATGGATGAGGAAGAAGGAGTCGGTTGGTGTCTAATTAAGACCCAGAAGTGAGATGATGAGGTGGTAACAGAACTTCTACATACGAAAGAGAACACATAACAGGACCTGGAGAATTTAAGACCCTAAAGAAGTAAAGTACCTGTGAATTTCAAAGCGACAAAAAGTCCTAGGAGAGTATACATTAAGCAACCAACTACATAACCAAATAATCAGTTGCTTGAACCTTGCAGTATAAAAAAACCTTTTAGTAAACTCAAGGTGGATTGCAACTTCTTCAGATGTAAGCTTAGTTTCCAGGCTGGTGGCACAGTTTCATTTTCAAAGTTAAAGCATGCAAAGTACAAATCGAAATTTCGACTTTCCATTCAATGATATGGTTAGGATATTCTTTTAAAGGATCAATATGCAAAACTTAAAATCTGTTCATTTTAGGTTACCGAATATGAGTTGTTGAGGTTTTGGAATGGTAGAAGTATTTGGTTTTGTTTTAAAAGTTGCATGTAGAGGCGCATTTGACATGTGGCGCTCAGGATCATTCCGTATGCCTCGCAGAAGGGAATAGGAGGGACACATCCAGATGGATGGTTGACTTTTAAGAAATACGTGAGGAGAAATAGGACACACTAATCCCTGACCTCTCACCCTAACTGGCTATCGTTATTTCATTGGAGAACTCAAAAGTTCAGGTTCATTTTGCCACTGGAATTGGCAGCAAAATTACACAGTAGCATTTTGAAAATTATGTTTACTTATTGAGTGTATGTGTTCCTCAAACTGCATGTCACCATCACTGTCAGTTCTGTTTGTGGAAGTCCAAGTGGTTCTTCCCCATGCATCCTGTGGTTCCAAGGGATGAAACTCAGGCCAGATGATCAAACTTTGTGGCCAGTTACCTTAACTTGATAAGCTGTCTCAAGGCCTCGTTAACATTTTTAAGACATAATTACTATCCCAAAACTAAAATAAAGTCCCCCAAATATCAGAGATATGAAAAAGATCAACAGATAGAAAAGTATTATAATGCACGATCAATCAGAATATTAATGGGTACCATGACGTGGGAGGGGGAGGGGGATTATGACAGTGATACAGCACCTGACTAGTCTTCCTCCTTCACAGGCACAGTACAAGCTCAGTGATGAGGTCAAATTCACCGACAACCACCTCTCAGATTATGGCAAGAAAGAAAAGGAGAGGGGTAGGTGACCCTCGTTGTGTCGTGTAATTAAGCCTGTGTATCACTGCTGTCATTTTCTTACTTGGATAATTTTTCTGTGTATGTACCCTTAGATTTTTGTTTTGCTTTCTTTGGGCTAGATCATAGAAAAAAGGCGTCGGGATCGAATAAATAACAGTTTGTCTGAATTGAGAAGACTAGTGCCAACAGCTTTTGAAAAACAAGTAAGTTATCGCCCCCCCCAACCCCATCCCCAAAAAAAACAACTCAAAGCATCTGACTTTCTGAGAATGTGGGTTCTTCTTGAAGCTCATTAAAATAATGGTGTGTGCTCTGTGCACCCTGATCTGGCACAGAACAGCTATTTCAATAAAATGCTTTGTTGTGGCAGAACTATTAAAAACATAATCCATCATGAAGTTGAAAACATTTCCATTCTTCAGCTTATTTTCCCCTTAAGGGTAACAGTGTTTCTGCTTTCTCTGTTCTTTCCATGAAACCAGAAGAGATTTTGTTTAAAATTGTGCTGAATGTAGTGTTCTTAAAAAAAAAAAAAAGTTTTATATGTGAAATATCATTTTTCCCTCAAACATTGAAAATACTATGTTTTTTTTTTTAAAAAAAAATCAAAGTTAAGGAAGTAAGATTTCTATTTTGGTTTCCTAAATTATACTGATACGATTTATTTAGCAAGCTACTTTCATTTTTAATTCTTGGGTTAATAGAACAGTGTTTGATTTGGAATATAATTTGGAAGTTTAGTAAAAAAAATCAAATTAGTCATAAGTGTTGTTTTTCAAAGTTCAGGTATTCTTTTGCATAAAAAAAGTAAAAAGCGATTGCCATTTGGGAAAGTAGAAAACAAGCACGCTTTCCTTTGTAGCTTTGAGTCTGCATGTGAGTCTCTTGTTCTGCCTCTGTGGCTGATGCAGAGGTTTCTAAGGCTTCAAGTATGTAGCCATTTCTGTGCTGAAACTGTTTTCAGTTGCGTTCCAAATTGGATACAAACATCGGTTGGTTGTTTATGCCATTTTTGTTGGTTTGTTTACTTTGTGATTCTGCAAACACTGTAAAGCAAGCTCCACAGAGAACCTTTGGAGGCCATCCAGGGCCACTGTTGGCCACGGTCATAGCAGCTACTCGGACATCCTCATGGACACGGCGAACAAGGAGATGTACAGGACATGCTATGCTACTGTTGTCTCATGTATTTAAGATGGAGAAAAACTAGACATAAACTCTGCAATTCATATACCAAGGCTGTCTTTAATAACTTACGTTAAATTACACTTCGGAAAAGTGCATTGCAAATGAAATGGCAATAACCTATGCTTGTTTGTTTGTTTGTTTGTTTTAGTTTTTTGAGTACTGAAATATCTACATTCTGACACTGAGAAGCAGTCACTCTGTGATCTTTTTCCCTAATCTTGGTTTATTAGACTCTTTTCTTAAATATTGACTTAAACCTTAAGAGCAAGCCTCAGTCGTTTGGCAGCTAGTTACTGTAAACACAAGCTTTCCTATTTACAGAGTCTGGCTGCCAACCCCAGTGAGCTGGCCCTGCCACAGCTAGAGGAGAACACTCTGTAGAGACTCTGAAGAACTGACACTCCGCTATTTACTGTTTGTTGATGATTTAAAAAAAAAAAACAGTATAGGGAAAAACCATATTGGTTTAATTATTCAGCTTCTCTAAGAAGTTAGAAGTCAGCAAGCCCCAAGTCACTATAAGTGGGGCATTTCTTTCAGTTGGTTTCCAATGGTTACTTTATTTAAGAAGGGGAACAATGAAAATGTATTTGCAAGACTAGGGTTTTTGTAGGGTTTTGTAAGGTTTTTTTTCTTCCAATAATTTACTCTTTTTTATTCACTTTACATCCTGATCACAGCCTCCTCCCTCCTCCCTTCTCAGTCCCACCTTAAAGTCCCCCATTGTCCCCTCCCCTTCTCCTCAGTAAAAGAGAGCCCCATCCCTGGACATCTAATCTGGCAGGACTAATCAGTCCCTCACCAACTGAGGCCGAGCCAGGTAGAACCAGGCAGTCCGGGTAGGGAAAGGGGATCCATTGGCAGGGAACAGAGATCAAGACAGCTCCCCGACCCCACACTTGTTAGGGAACCCACATGAAGACCAAGCTGAATGTTTACCACAAGACTATTTTAAGAATAGTTTTTGAATGATTGGTAAATCCTTAGGCACAAAAGATGTTCCTTAAGTAACTCCTTAAGTAAACTACAAATTAGCCCTTTGTGTTTGTGATCCTAGGATTCACAGTGACACCTGCTGGTGACCTTGAACGTCCTTTCCTAGTTTGTTTCCTGTACTGGTTCTCTTCAAGACTTACTGGGATTTTTCTATTTTTGAACGTTCTACTTTTGATGCTTTGTTAAAGTACTATATCCATATCCTCAAGAATTAACATTCAACTGTTTAACTGCTGTAGACTTCAATAGTAATGACAGTAAATGTTCCTTAAGAAAATATATCATTAAGGAAGGCAACGTTCAAAGTTCAAGAGCTTTGCAGTTGGCATGGTGTTTGTAGGATGATTTTAGGAACATAATTGCTTTAGTATTTAATGAATCAGTTCTTTGATGCCTTGTTCTAGTCTTTAGAAATTGCAAGTTGCCGGGCGGTGGTGGCACACGCCTTTAATCCCAGCACTTGGGAGGCAGAGACAGGCGGATTTCTGAGTTTGAGGCCAGCCTGGTCTACAGAGTGAGTTCCAGGACAGCCAGGGCTACACAGAGAAACCCTGTCTCGGAAAACCAAAAAATAAAAAAGTTGCAAGTTAATGCCATCAGCTATGGTGTAGTAATTGCTGTTTTTTTTTATATAAAGTTTAGAATGAATACAGAGTCTGCCCAGATGACTCAAAGGTTAAAAGAATGAACTGTACTTCTAGCGGACACAAATTTGGGCTCAGCACTCACAGTGGGTGGCTCACAAGCATTTTTAAGTCCAGCTCCAGTAGGTTCTGGTACCTCTGACCTGTATAGGTATCTGCCTGTATGCACGTGGGGGGGTGGGGGGGGAATGGGGGAGAAAGAGAGAGAGAGAGAGAGAGAGAGAGAGAGAGAGAAAGAGAGAGACACACACAGACTCTCACACACATACACATAGATACACTTACATATGCATATATACAATTAAAAATTTTCAAGTTTTTCCTGTGATGAAATTAAACATAGAATTTTATAATGAGGCGAGATTGGAACTCTAGTACTAAGTTCAGTATGTAATATTCCAAGATAGTTTCTGTAGGACTCATGAGACTTTATTATTTGTTTCTGAAGGGATCTGCCAAGTTGGAAAAGGCTGAAATATTGCAAATGACAGTGGATCATTTGAAGATGCTTCAGGCAACAGGGGGTAAAGGTAAGGTTTGGTACCATTCTTCACCCCCTTTCTACCTTTCTCTTTTCCTCCTTTCTCTTTAATATCCTAAAGAAGTCACAGTTGAACAGCCCTCTAACAAGCTGAGATAGGCAGCCCCAGATTAAAGCTGTGGAAATCAGTACTTAATGGCAGGATTGAACTCGTGGGAAAGAACTGCTAGAACAAAAGAAGCACTTGACCCCAGGGCTTGTGTTTGCTTTCATAATACTGTGGGAGTGCAGCTTCCTTCACAGCCGCCTGCTCAGACGTTTGTTTGGGATTTGAGAAGTTCATGCTGGAATCTGTACAGAAAAACAAGGCAAACACACAAACATCCAAATATGAACGAGGCTGGGGGTGCACCACTCTCCTCTCTCACTTTTATTCAACCCAGGCTGGGACCTGGATAATTTAGCCATTTAAAGAAGATAACGCTAGAATTAATTTTTTGTCATTGGTTCCCAGACCATTCTGGCCTGTCTTGACTTTATACCAGCCACAACATTTGAAGTACAGGTACTAAATTTCTACTAGAAACATCAACAGAACAGGCTCTTCCTGGGAGGAATTCACAGGAGTAGATATCCACATGCCAAGGTAGAATATCGTCTGTACTGGACAGGAGTAAATCATAGAAGAATTGTCAGGTCAGAGTAGGACCCCCATATTAAAAGAACAGACACAAAAAGGATGATATCGTGAGAGTCATGATACTCATTCAGACTCATTGTCCTGCTTCCACTCCGGTCTGACCTCAGGTTGCCCTCTTAGCTTTATGGTTCTTCAAGGGTGCCTTTGATATCCATCTCAGCCAGGTTTGTACACAACTGAACAAAGAAAGCTTCAAGGTGTAAGTGCTGGGACTGAAGGCTGAAGGCCTCCAACGTGCAACATAGGTTTTCTCTACAGTCTATGGCCCTAGATCTGAGCAAGGCGGGGCAGGGCATGGAATTAAAGGCAAATCGCTTTTACTAATCTGAAAACTGATAGATCATCAGCCTCGACCCAAACCATCCCCTACTTATGGCAGGAGGAGAAACTGCTGTATGTGATGTCTATAATCTACCTCAGGTCACAATGTCCTAAGAAACTCTCTTGAACCAAGCCCAGTCAGTATAGGATGCAAATATTCTTGTAACGTAAAACCAATGGTTAGATCTTAGAAGTCAGTTATCCCACCCAGCTTGGCTGCAACCTTTGACCTGAGTTGGAAGTAACTTGCTGGTCTTCGAGGATTAAGCTAGCAGCATGTGCTCCACAGGTCCCGCTACCTTGGGATTCCAGGAGAGCAATGAAGTTAGTTGTGGTCAAGGAAGACTATGGATTACTCTACCTTCTCTCGAATTGATAGCCATGAGGTAAAGGATTGCTGCCAAGGGCTCAAATATTTGGCATGCATTGTACTTCTAAAGAGTAAAGTTGTCCTCTCACCTTATAGCAAGTCTTGTATTACTTCTTATTTGTGACTACTTGAGCAGTCCTAAATTCATGCCAGAGTATTTCCAACCATATGCCATACAAGTTGCCTGACTGCTGGGTCCCTAGAGAGGCCATCCCAGGAAGAATGTGTAGGCCTTGAACAAGAGGAGCCGCCAGGGTTTGCTCACATGCCCAGAATCCCAGTTGCCTCTAGTGCAGAGGAAGGACATGGGCTCTAAGGTACTTGGATGATAGTGACTTCCGGTTCTCCAGTTCATTAGCTCTGTCACTGGGGCCACATCACCTCATCCTTTCTGACCCCAGTTTTATCCTTTGTAGTATAGAGTCTCTGATGAAGGACTCCTCACAGGTGTACTATAGAGTCTCTGATGAAGGACTCCTCACAGGTGGTTGTAAATGAATTGGCTTGAAGCCTAGAAACCTGCACTGGTACAAAGGAAGTGGTTATGGGCATGTGTTATTGTTGGCTCAAGGCCCACTTATATGAGACGGCTGCTCGTCATCATTTCCCTCTGCTTCCAACAATAGAACAGGAATTACATAATTCATATTCCTTAAGATGCAATAAGACCCAGCCATATACGGCCGTATAGCAAGCAAACTTCAAATGTCACTTACTTTACAAGCACCAGTGAAATTCAAATAAGTTAATATGTCCCTTTCAGTCTCTCATAAGATTATAATAGTTTCTAGGGAAAAACCCAAATTCTTCATTTTTTCAGTGTCTCTGGACTGTGATTAATACCTTCTCCTTTTGAGAAAGTCAGAAGCTCAAGCATGAAGGCATGAACCCTAAAGACTGTCATGTGGGGTCCTTCCATGGAGACATCCTCATGAGGAACAGCCATTTCTCTTAATCCCAGGGACTTTCTTAATGACTGCTCTGGAGTCTAAGGATACAAATCAGTTTTACTGCTGATATCCAGCCCTTCATGATAGTCTCTTGTTCAGCTTAGTGCTATTTCTGCTGTCCTGGCGGTTATATTTGCCCCAAACACCCTTTTCTCATTTCCAGATTACTCAGTAAACATAACAGCAGCTTCTCATAATGCTTCAATTATGAAATAGTCTAAAGGAAATAGACAATTTTTGCTTTGTCAAAGCATAAAGTGATACATTGTAAATGGTTTCGAGGAAAACACCTATTTTGGATTACAGAGGTACTCAGAGACAGACTGTACATTTAGCTGTGCTGGTCCTTGGTCCCAACTCCCTGAACCATTTTCTATTTAAAAAACAAACAAACAAACCAACCATATTGTTGAGGAAAGTCATTATCCCACAATACTAAAGCTAAGACATCCCCTCCCACACTCCAGGAGGTATTCAAAACATGAATGCCTCTATTTTATTTTTTCTTATTGTGACATGTCAACCCTAGTTTAACTACAGCATTGCTGAAGTTGTTGTGCATGCCATTTGTAGAGTATCCTTTCTTTACTCCCGGAAAAAAAAAAATCATCGTAGCCATGGTGTTTTCAGAAAGAGTCATCCCATCTCTAGAGAGCACAAGAGCGGGACCTAAGTGGGTGGCTGTTCTCAAAGCCATATCATTTTCTTTTCTTTCGCCCCTCACCTCTGATTCTCCTCAATCTTTTTAGGCTACTTTGACGCCCATGCTCTTGCCACGGACTTCATGAGCATTGGATTCCGAGAGTGCTTGACAGAAGTGGCTAGGTACCTGAGCTCCGTGGAAGGCCTTGACCCATCGGACCCATTACGTGTGCGCCTTGTCTCTCATCTCAGCACCTGTGCCTCTCAGCGGGAGGCGGCAGTGATGACATCCTCCATGGCCCACCACCATCACCCCCTGCACCCTCACCACTGGGCAGCGGCTTTCCACCATCTCCCCACAGCCCTGCTCCAACCAAATGGACTCCACACATCGGAGTCAAGCCCATGTCGCCTGTCCACATCTTCAGAAGTGCCTCCTGCTCATGGCTCTGCCGTCCTCACAGCAACGTTTGCCCATGCAGATTCTGCTCTTCGGATGCCATCAACGGGCACCGTCGCACCCTGCGTGCCACCTCTCTCCACCTCTCTCCTGTCTCTTTCGGCCACTGTGCATGCCGCAGCTGCAGCGGCCACCGCAGCTGCACACAGCTTCCCTCTGTCCTTCGCTGGGGCCTTTCCCATGCTCCCATCCAATGCGGCGGCAGCAGCCGCGGTTGCTGCTGCCACAGCAATCAGCCCACCCTTGTCAGTGTCGGCAGCATCCAGTCCTCAGCAGACAAGCAGTGGGACAAACAGTAAACCTTACCGACCCTGGGGGACAGAAGTTGGAGCCTTTTAAGTTATTCTTGAATCTCTTTGCAATAGTAACTGATGTCCTCCATCCATTTCAGAGTCAGCTTCAAACCTCTGCGCCCTGAAGGTAATCCTACAGATATGTACAGATCCACACAGCATCAGTAAAGTGATTTGAGAAGCAAACTTCGCACAAATGGAAATGTAGTATTTTTTTTCCTTTGTTTAAGGCAGTTGCAATTGACGTCAGCAACTTGAAAGCAGCACACCTATCTCCATTTAAGCTTTTTATTTTTTTTGAAAAGACACCGATGTCACCATCCAGTGGTGCATTAATACTCCTGACTTGGAAAAGAAAAACTCTTGTAACTGAGCTCTCCTGATGCTAGAAGGGAGAAGAAAAATAAAAAATTACCATGTTTTCTAAGTGCCTGAACTAAGGAATGTAATGTCGCACAAGATCAGAAGGGTATAGCTGTTAGGTAGAGAAAAGGAGCGAGCAGACAATGCATTGGGATGCAGATACAGTGTTCTTTGGAAACCAACAGGTTTTATTGGCCAGAAAGATGAATGAAAATTAAGTCAAAACACCTAGTTTCATCTTTGTTTTCTTTATACAGACTTGCCATGCAGTGACATTTAGCAATGCACTGAAATAAGCAATTCTGCCAGAGCCGCCCCCCCTCCCCTTAACAAGCATTCCTGCTCTGCCTTCAAGGTTCCATACCTCTGGTGAGCCCTGGCTTAAAACACAATGCTTCTTTATGTAACCTTACAGGTACACAATGCACTAGAAGCAGTTCCCTACTGTGCGCCCACCAGAGGCTCATTCATGCCAACTCAAAAACTCTTCAGTTTGCAAGAGTTTGGATTAATTTATTTCACTTGGACTATTTTTATATATTTAACTTCTTTGGTTTTCTCCTGACAACGTGTAATGTCTGTTCTTGTCTGTTTGGAGGTGGAGATGTTGTATTTCTGGAAGTAAGTCGATAAGGAGGGATGATATGGAAGGGAAAAGCTACATGATGTAAATGCCCTGGTCAAGTTAAAGATTGCATTTGATCCCAAATCACAACGAATGTATGAAGTGAGGTGTACATAAATTATTTTTGTCCATGCCTAGATTAGTGCTACATAATGGTGTTTTGGTTTGGATTTTTTTATATTGTTTAATGACAAAATAATCTCTTAATACGTTGAAATTGAGCACATGAGATTTTATATTTGAAAGATAAAGACACAGCATGTATTCTTATGCACTTCATTTCTCTGCTGTGTGGAGAAAGCAATAAACAAGAGAATATTAAACATTATGCAAAGTTATACTCATAAATATGTTTTTAAAGTTACTGTACCTAGTCTTTTCTGTATTACTTTGTAACTTTTTTTCTATGCAAAAGTCTATGTTTCACTAATTAAATGATGTCCTTTTTGACTATCTCATGTGGATGAGTTGCTTTTCAGAATGGCAAGCTGACATTGCCTTTCATGTGAGGAGGTCTTATTTTACTGACTCTTTCAGCCATAGCTTTGTGCTATGTGTTTCAAAATCATTTAACTTAGGAATTCACACCTTACTTTAAAAGAAACTTTATGGAGCTTACGGATTAAAAACAGGTAAGAACTGCAAAGGCAAAAGGTGATCATTTTCCTCTACCTTGTGTTGCTTCTTCCTTGTTTGTTTGTTTGTTTGTTTATCTCCTTGTTTATTTTAGACAGGGTTTCACTGTGTAGCACACGCTGGCCTAGAATTTGCTGCCACTCTCAACAAGTACCATCATAATCATAACTTTCGCTCTTGGAAAGTATAAAAAGACTTCCAAATAAGAGAATACCCAACACAGAGAATGAGCTGGAATGTGTCATATTGTGTAGCTCAAATCTAAACATGGTCGTGGGACATCAATAGATACAGGATAGACATGAACACGCATCCTGAGGAGGAGTCGCTGTGTCTTTGAAAGTTTCCTTGATAAGGTGGAGATGTAGTTGTTGCCCCCTCTTCAGAGAAGGTTAAGTCAGGTGGAGCTAAATCCCTGGGCCAAAAAAAGCACCAAAAGAATGAAAAGAAATCTTGTATCATTCAGATCAACATGCTCAGATGAAAAGATTGGGGTGGAAGGGCAGTCACAATGGAGGACTGTTGCACCAGTTTGGTTTTGGAAAGTGAAGTATAACGGTATTGTTGGGGTGGTTTCTGTCTTCTATGTACTACTTTTTAGGGCAATCGTTTTCATGTTTGTTACAAAAACAAAAAGGATGTAAGCCTTTTAAAAATTGTTTCAGGGGAAAGAACTTTTAGGAGTTGATTGGTTGGTGGGTTTTATGTAACAGTCCCCAAGTTAACTCAAAGACATTTTAGTAGAACTGAAAGAAGAAAGGAGAAATTTGAGTTTTCTCCAAACTTAAAAGCTATGTGTATGCACAGCTAGAACATAACTTTGCATTTCTCATCAGCAACTATATGCACATCCTTGAGCTGTACTCCCCAGATTTGGAGTGGTGTATAGGAACTGACACCCTAGCTATTATAGTGACTTTCAAAGGAAGAGCCATGATGAGATGCTGAGAATAAAGAAGATTTTTCTGGCAGCAGTGAAGGAGGGGTATTGGTTTTGGAGGTTTTTTTGTTTTTTTGTTTTTTTTAGATCATTGACAAATACGGCCTTTCCTATTTTATTTGAAGAGATAGGGAGAATTTTAAAGTAATATCCAAATATTAAAAGTCCAAGTATTACCTAGAATAGTGCCCACTATTTCACACATACATGGGGATTATAACCTGAAGGGAGCCTTTGTTCATGTCTTTCTCTTTTTTCTTTTGGATATTTTATTTATTTACATTTCAGATGCCATCCCCTTTCCCCATTTCCCCTCCCTAGAACCCCCTATCCAATCCCTCCTCCTCCTTTTTGCTTTTATAGCATTTGAATTACATGCATGTACTCAGGTCAGTTCTAGGTTGAGGAACTAGCAATACAATCGATGCAAACAGTCAAGGAACAAGCAAGACAATAAACACAAGTAGTCAAAGAACAAGCAAGGCAGTAAACAAAATTCCATGAACACGCCCATGATCACTATTTCTAAGGGCTTATCAGGATGTTCATGTCTTTCTTCCCTATGTGACTTATTCAGAGTACCTATCACAAGTTATCTCAATTCAAGAGTAATTATCTGAGAGACATCATCCCAAAGGGTTATGATTTCATAATTTCATGTTCTCAGAGGTCTATGAGTTGCTGTTGATTTAAGATCATTTTTAAAAGAATATGGACTTCTAAATATAAACTTTACAGACTGACTATAAAATACCTTTTAAGTATAAAAAGGAAAACATGCATCTTGAGTTTGAACCGATATACTACTACTATTACTATGATGAATACAATTTTAGAAGTAACAGCTAATCATGTAAAGAGCAGACTACTTTAGCTTTCCTTTAAATGACTTTGTAAGCATGGTGATCAAAAGATACAAGGGGTGTTTGTTTCCATGTTTTAGCTGCCCAGTGGCACTATGCAATTTCACTTCTGGAAAAGTGGTGTTAGACTTGCTTTTGTGATTTTCCCGAGGTCTAAGCAATGCCTGAGATTGTGAATGTTCCAAGTGCTTCAGCAAAACATCACAGCAAACATGCTATTTAAACCATCACTATGGTTCATGATCCTTGAAAGGATACATCTTTGAAAGTCAATGGAAGATATTGAAAAGTGCCTGGACGATCTGCTGTAAGGGCAGAGATCATGTGGAAAGTGGCTGTCCAGGTACAATGCTTTCACCCATGCCCTCAAAGGAAAGGGAAAGAATGAGTTGGTTAGGGAACCAGTTTGTTGGCTATGTAACTGTTGGAACTAGGACCACCTTAAGACGAAGGAAAACAAAGAAACTCAACTGATATCCTAATAAAGTGTAACTCATGTTCTAGAAATCTGTTCCTCATTCAAGCCCCTTACCTGTACTATAGAATTCACAATACTGTATGGACAACCTGGAAACCAGAAAATGATGCTAACTGTCTAGTATCAAACCTAGCAGGTTGACTATGACTCCATGGTACTCTGTTTACTTTTTCAGCCCATACTATTGTTCTTTAAGCTATGGCTTTGGTGTTATTTTATTTTTAAACTCAGAATCATCTAGAACACCCCCATGATATCACCCTTCCAGGGATGACTGAATATAAAAATAAGTCTGCATGTAGGTTTAGCATAAAACTACCATCTCTCCTTAGCAGGTGAGAGGATAGAAAAAGATGTAGTCCATAATACCATATTAAAAAGAAATTCTTTTGACATGTGCCTAGTTTGACCTTTCGGGAAAGTGAATTTACCTTCTGTGCAGGATATCAAAGAGTATTTTACAGTCTTTGTAATGTGACTGACAATGAACAGGCAGAATGGTGAAGAATTAAGAAAAGATGTTAAACAAATTTATTATAAAAGATGAGGAGTCTCTCTC